GCAGTAAATTTTCCAATTTAAGCAATTGGAGAGAAGAAGCCTGAAAAAAATCAGGGCTTCAATGGGCTTCGAACGCTGGGGTTTGAACCCCATTGAAGCCCTGATTTTTTTCAGGCTTTTTCTTTCAAATTGCTTAATTGGAAAATTTACTGTGATGATCATTCTTCACTTTCAATAAAAGTATTGTGGCCAGCCAAAACTACATCCAGCACTTGCCTCTGACAGTCGAAGTCAAACCACTAGAGGCAAACAAACATCAATCAATTTTCAAGCTCTTTCTGAGTCGTATGAGCACAAAAGGTCGCCAATTAACAAGAACCTTGTTGTCTCAAATCAAAACTTACCTTAGGATTAACTTGGCAAAATTTTCTCCTACTATACTTACCTTATATTGTCAGGAGAAAAAAATTCTTAGCACAACGGTCATAAAATTTCTGAATTCTTCAAATACGAAATGACAACTCTTTCGGCCTTGTGGCAGCATTCTATTTCCAGAATAAAATCATCAAGCTTCCGGAATTAAAACTGACCAATCAGAACAAGCGACACTATCACTTCCACTTCAATTCTGTCAATCAACGTTTCATATTTCTGACTTCCGTGGCCCCCAACTGACAGAGACAACATTAAAATATCGCAGACCTTTTATATGTTTGGGCTAAGTGAGCTTAGACATATTTAGTTTAATGCTTCTTCTTCCCAGAATATCAAATATTTCCAATAAGAAAAATGGCAAGAAACAAGAGAAAGAACATGACAGATAAAAGCAAATTCAAAGTTCTTAGAATTGAAGCAAAGAAGCGGTGGTGAAGCAAACGGGTGGAAGCAAAACGCCTCAAGCACATAGTCGAGCAAGCTGCGTCAGAAAAAAGTCCTGTTGCTGTTGGTGAAGCAAGGGAACCCAATCCTGCAGCTGCCCTCATCCAACCCGATAAGCCACTGATGAGCCATCCTCTAGAGTAACAGAGTAAGTCCAGGTATGGATGGATGGTGCAGCTGGACCTGAAAAATTTGCCAACGTGAAACAAATGTCAAACAAATTAATCAAACAAATTAATCCCCCGAAGATGGTCAGTGCCAAAATCTTCTTGGGCTCTGGTACCTTCGGCACATGCCATCTTACCCTCTACAGGGAAATTTTAGTGGCAGTAAAGGAATTCAAGTCAAGACAATCAAGGTCTGACAAAGAAGTGAAACGCAAGGTTCTAAATGAGGCCCGAATGATAAGCCACTTTTGTGACCACCGCGGACTCCCCTTGCTTTTTGGAGTTATCACAAAGTCAACGCCATTTTGTCTTTTGACTCAGTTCCATGGGAACAAGATACAAAGTTTAAAGCTTTACAAGGCCATGAAAAGATTGGAACTGGACAAGCCATACTGGCTTCACAACTTAAGAGGCATCATTGAGGCCCTCAGCCATGTCCACAGCAAGGACATTTTGGACAACGACTTAAAGTCAAACAATGTTTTACTCCAAAAACGTGGAAAAGATTGGAATCCAGTAATCATTGACTTCAGGAAAGCGTGTTTCATTTCCAATCCTAAAACTCTGACGTCCTTGTCTGTGTCTGCACAAGAACAGTACCTGCATTCATATTCTCAAATCACACTGGAAATCATCTGTGGAGAAGGTTGACAGAGTGTGCAGTTAGATGTGTTTAGTGTTGGAAGGATTGCTCTTGCCATTTTATTGCCAACTGCAACAGCACTTTCACTGAAAGCTGGAAAGCAAGACATTATAGACAATCCAGTTAAGTGGCCAAGTTTGGAGAACTTTTGCTGCACTATTGACACTAGTTTTAGATTCTTTTTGTTTTCTTGGGAAACTAGATATTAACTTTGGGGTTTGCCGTTTCCTTTTTATCCATGTAGTACCAAGGAGTTCCCACATTAAGGTCACTTACATGTAGCCTCATGCGATCTGAAATGTTTTTGTGGGTTTCAAGCTGCAAAACACGCCAGGCTCAATGTTAAATAAATATAGTGCCCAGCAAAACTAATTAGTCGGTTCTAGTTCATAATATATAAAATAATTTGTGTATTTACAAAGATTTTAAAGATAGTGTTTCTAGCCTCGAGCAATTCAATAAGCTTTGTGGGTTTAAGCCAACGAAACATCAGACTAATCAGAACCTCTAGCCAGTTTCACAGCATTTAAATTCAGTTCTTTAACGTTCTACGTCAGTTTAAGTCGTTCTAGTTCAGTATATTTAAAATCATATCTATTTTGTATGTATATTTTGGTGAGATAAGTGTTATTTTTTAAGTCCAGAGGGCAATTTGTAAAGTTTCTAGCTGATTGCTTGGATGTTTACGTATCTTTGGGCAATTTGAGGCTGGCCAGCTATGCGGACATCAAGCCAAACAGTTGTGTTAAGTTTTTCACACATCATTATTGTGAATAAAATGTCATCAAAAATGTCACAATAGTTTAAGTGTGGACTTGTATTGGCCCAACAATAAAAGTCAGAAAGAAGTCTGCCAATAAATGCAAGAATGGTCACCAGTGAGAGGTCAATACTAGAAGTGACAATCATTGGCCCTATGATCTACCCACAATTCATAACAGGGAAGGCCTAAAGCAGAAAAGCTAGAAAAAATACTAATTCTTACTCGTTGAATCTGTCCTTGGCCACTCAGCAGTGTGTGATTTTTGTATAGGATTTTGTCAAAGCTGTTTACCTACAAAAGTGTCTGTTAAGATAGTCATAACAAACAGTATTTAAGGCTGGATGGCTTAAGGTAACAACGATATTCATCTCTCCTTTTGGGTCAACCTTTATTTGTGTACTGTAAATATTACAATATAAATCTATTCTGTCACTGTTGACCTATCCTTTTGGTTTGTAATCATATTTATTATGTTCAGTTGGTATTTTGGTGGCTCAAAACAGTAATATCTCTGTTAGACACCTGGGCTCTAGCATGCACTTTGGCATGAGGCATCGGCATGAGGCATCACAAGATCAATCCTTATCCACAAACCTAATATCTCAAAAACTGAACTAGTGTCCCTACTTTTTTAATGCAAAAGATTATTCAACAGCAAAAGAGGAATTCACATGTGAAATTGTAAAAAAAAATTGTGGAGTGGAATTCTTCCAGCTTGAAAATTTCCATTTTTTTAATTTAAGCAAAATCTACTCCTGACCACTGAATTTTTTTGACATCTTTACCCATTTCTTCTTCTGTGGTAAAAAGATTTTAGAAAAAAATGGGGTCACCGACTTAGTTTTCAAGATAGATGCAACTGACGCTGAAAAATAAGTCAAGTTTGTTGCTATGCAACAGAT